GATTTTGGAGTCTATCCTGCCTGGGGTTCGTTCAGTTTCTTTTTTTTTTTTTTTAAATGACATTTATTCAACATCATGATCAGACTATTACATTTAGCAATCAACAGCATGGGTGCAGAATAAAACAAAACAAAACTACATTAAAACCCTTTGTTGGAATGCTTTACACTTTCCACAGGACAGAAACTAAAATAACCTGTTAAATAATTAGTCACAAATACAGTCCTGGAGTTTGTGTGTGTGTGTGTGTGTGTGTGTGTTTTAACCCGTACACATGAGTATTGTCTAAAACATGTCTTCTTTGTAGCAGCTAGGCCCTGCCACCACTGTACTTGACTGAGTTCACAAATCTGTTGTAACCTGTAGCTTCCCTGTCACATCTCGGGCTCTCCTTCCTGCTAAGCTTTGTTTCCTGGCATCATTAAAACCTTCTGCCACTTCTACGGCTACTGCTGCTGTTTAAACCACCATAGCCACCTTGGTTTCGTGGTTTGGCAAAATATTGACCTCCACCGCCGTAAGGGCCAGAGTTTCTGCCACCAAAATTTCCTCCCTTCATGGGTCCAAAATCTGAAGAGTGAATGTTATAATTGCCAAAATCATTATAGTTTCCACTGCCTCCAAAATTGCTTCCATCATTACCAAATCCATTATAACCATCCCCACCGCCTGGCTGCCACCAAAGTCACCTTATCCACTGAAGTCTCCTCCATGACCAAAGTTGTCATTCCCACCAAAACCACCTCCATGGCCACCACCGAAGTTTCCAGAACCACTTCGACCTCTTTGACTGGAGGAGGCACTGGCCATCTCTTGCTTTGACAGGGCTTTCCTTACTTCACAATTGTGGCCATTCACAGTATGGTACTTCTGGATAACAATCTTATCTACAGAGTCATGGTCATCAAAGGTTACAAATGCCACTGCCTCCGTCTGTCATGATTTCAATCACTTCAATCTTCCCATACTGCTCAAAATAATCTCTTAGGTGATGCTCTTCGGTGTCTTCTTTAATGCCACCCACAAAAATCTTTTTCACAGTTAAGTGAGCACCTGGTCTTTGAGAGTCTTCTCGTGAAACAGCCCTCTTTGGTTCCACCACTCTTCCATCCACCTTGGGTCACCTTGCATTCATGGCTGCATCCACCTCCTCTATAGTAGAGTAAGTGACAAACCCAAAGCCTCTGGAGCACTTGGTGTTTGGATCTCTTATCACCACATAGTCCGTGAGCATCCCCCATTGCTCAGAATGGCTCCTCAGGCTCTCATCTGTTATTTTGGAGCTCAACCCTCTGATGAAGAGTTTCTGAAGCTGTCCGGGCTCTTTAGGAGACTCTGACTTAGACATGACAACAGTGAGGGGGAAAGAAAAAAAAAAAAACAGAAAAACAACTAACGATGCTTCCACCGCGCTGTTCACAAGCAGAAAGCTCATTCAGTTTCTTGAATAATTATCTTTTTTTTTTTTAAAAAAAAATAAAAACAACAAATACATATTTATTGTGCCAATGAGTCAGTTCTGATTCATAGTGACCCTGCATAGGGTTTTGAAGGCTGTAAATATTTGTAACCACATTCTGATATACATAAGTACATATATACATATATATGCATATACACAATGTTCTGGTGTTGCACTGTTGGATAAGTATTAGACTGCTAACCAAAAGATTGACAGCTCAAACCACCAGCTGCTCCTTGGAAACCCTGTATAGGGTCACTAAGAGGCAAAAGCAACTCGATGGCAAACCACAACATACATACATATATATAAAATTATATATATATAATACATATAAAATATATAATATATATATGGAGCTCTGGTAGCGTACTGGTTACGAATCGGGCTGCGAACCGGAAGGTCAGCAGTTCGAGACTACCAGCTGCTCCGCGGGTGAAAGATGAGGCGATCTGCTCCCATAAAGATTTACATCCTCGGAAACCCTATTCAGGGTCGCTATGGGTCGAAACCGACTCGACGGCACTTAACAACAACAACATATATATATATACACACACACTCTGCTGGGTCACCTCTTTTTGGGATGAGCACAAATATAGATCTCTTCCAATCAGTTGGCCAGGTAGCTGTTTTCCATATTTCTTGAAACAGACGAGTGAGTGCCTCCAGTGCTGCATCAGTTTGTTGACAGATTTCAATTCTGTCAGTTTCTAGAGCCTTGCTTTTTGCCAGGGCCTTCAGTGCAGTTTGAATTTCTTCCTTCAGTACCCTTAGTTCTCTCTTGAAATGGTTGAACATCGACCATTTCTTTCTTTCTTTTTCTTTTTTTTTAATGTTTTATTATGATAGTTTACATGGGAGAACATTAGTTTTACATTCATCCTATTGTGTATCATTTCATTGTCATAGTTACATTCCCCTCCATACATCATCAACCAACCAAAGGGTATATACTAAAAGCCTGTGCCCCGGTCGTCAGCACACAGCCCCTCTCCCTCTCTGTGTCTAAAGTCCCCAGCTGCTCCATCTCTCCACGTCATCATCTCTGCCTCTATCTCAGGCATCACTGCTTCTCTGGGTAGGGTCCCCCTCCCCGCTCTTCTCCCTTGATGGTTCCAGGGATCTCCGCTCCTAGAGTGTAAAGTTAATCACTCCCCTCCTTGCTACAAAACGTCTACCTTTACATTTCCAACCCTCACATTCAGTCCTGATAACAATTATTCACTATTATATCACAAGAGACCTATCCGCATTTCATTTCATCAGCCCTGCCTAGACAGGTTGGATACTACTCAGTGGAGATTCTACCTTCCTTCATGCCCTCTGGATCTAGGTTCCCTCTTGAAAGCTTGTAAGCCGGTCACTTCTTGCCTTTGTAGTTCTCCCCCACCCCCATTTTGGGTAGCCAATATCCAAGTTGCCTATCCCTGTCTACTCTGTGTATGGAGGGGGTGGGAATGATCCTTGCTGTAAAGATTTGTTCCCTCTTTTGAGCTACTGCATCCATAGGTGTAGATCAAGTTCATCAAATAATAATTATCTTCTTGTCCTTCATGGTGTTGGGGAAATTTTCTCCCAGTACTTCTTTGGTGGTCTTTTCTGTGGTTTTCTTTGTCTCATCTTATTCTGGAATTCCAGTCAACCACAGATTATTCCTGTTTATGTTGTCCCACATGAATCTTAGGCTTTCTTCATATTTTTTTTATTCTTTTTTTTTTGGTTGTTGTTGTTCTTCTAGATTACTAATACTAAGAGATTTTATCTTTAAGCTCGCTAATTCTGGCTTCCATTAATTCACATCTTCTCCTTTGCCCTTTCTGTGTATTGTCCATTTTTAGTATTGATCATCTGGACCTCTGTTTGGAGGCTTTGTATTTTCTCCAACACGGTAGCTATTTTATTTGATTGTACCTGAATGCATTTTTGAATTCTTCCTTGTTTTCCTTGACCTTTCTGTGAAACCTTTGAGTGTACCTCAGTATCATTCTACTGAATTCTTTTTCGGGTAGTTGTAGTGACTTTTCTTCCTCTGGTCATTTGTTTGAGCTACTCTGTCTTGTTTCTGTGTGTGAACAGAAATTCTCTGCAGCTTTTTATGTACTGTGGTATTGTTATATTTGTATTACGTTGATGAATTTATGTTGGTGTATTCTTAGGTACTCACCAATCGTTCCCTGGTGGGTGTGATCAGGCAATGAGCTTCTCTTTTCACTGTTTGTACAGTTAAATTCAGAGTTGTTTTAGCAGATGTTGGTTGTTGTCCCTGCTGTAGTGTATGACAGCTGGTATTAGGACTTGTCCAATTGGTGGGGCTGTAGTGGGTATGACTGAATTGGCTGTATGGCTTCATTTGCTGTCATCTGTGTGTGATGCAAAATAAATAAATAAATAAATAAATAAAAATAGCCCTTACAATGAAAAGAAAGAAAGAAAGAAAAAAAAAAAAAAACCTGAAAGTAAATGGCTTTATTTCTGCCAATAGGTCATAGGCTCTACTACCTACTGGCCTCTTATCTTCACATCTGCTGGGAAAGTTCAAATTGGCCATGCTGCATGCAGGGAGCCCACATAACTTGCCTTCCTCCTTTTTGCCCTTGATTTTTTCCTTTATTCCACATGTCCATTCAGCTTCATTTCCTAATGACAGCTAGTCCAGGACTGGTCACAGTAGACTCTGCAGATTTGGATCAGAGCCTGCCCTGATTATTGTATATAGTTCCTCCCCATAGCTTACAAACCCCATGTGACTCAAACTAACTGAAGAGCAGGAGATTCCCTGGGGTTGTATGCTAGTCAGCAGAAAAAAGAAGAAAAATAAAATAAAATAAATTGCACATTTGTCTCTGCGAGTCTTGGGTAGTTTTCTGCAACATGAATGCACTTTCAGGATGGCTGGGCAGGTTCTGTCAGCTAACCATGCTCATCAGTCACCTCATCTCTTGCTGTGCCCAGTAAGCAATTGATCCACTTTTCTATTCATTCCACAGGAACACAGACTTCTAGGACCATCCTGTGCATCTATCTTGCCCAGTTTTCTGTATCCTTGTTTCAGAGGTCCCACACAGCCTTTCTGCATAGTCTGCCATCTTTTTCCAACCAAATACCTTGATGCCAGGCACTCCTTAAACTTCTGACCCCACAAAATGGCCACTCTGATGGACTCAGATGCCTTTTGAAGGCCCTTGCATAAACCAGTATTGGGAAAGGAACACTGTCCTAATTTTTCCACAAAATAACTTCGACCTGACTCCAACTTGTAAACTCACTAATCAAAACCTTTCTTCGTAATCCTACAGGTTTCCTTATGGAATGTATGGGCAGCTTAACCCCCAAAATGAGAATTCCCAAGCATTTGGAGAAAGAGCACATTATATACTTTTATAAAGTCTATTCTTGGGGGGTGACTATTAATTTGAAAAATATTTAATAGAATTTACACATGAGCTTTTATGTAGGTGTAATTATTTTCTTTTAAAAATTCCTATTGTTGATTGTAAATTTTTAATTTACCTTGAAACTCATGTTTCTTCTACAGGTGAAAAACAAGGGTATAGCCGACAGTCTCACATTAATTTTGTTAGTAATGGGAAACACAGCCCTCTCCACATGGCTGTTCAAAGTGGAGACTTGGAAATGATTAAAATGTGCCTGGACAATGGTGCACAGATAGAGCTGATGGAGGTAATTGTTCCTATTTGACATGACACTTTTGTTTATATATATGATTTTCCAAAATGATTTATATCAATTTTATAGTTACTTTATATAGAAAATACATACTAATCCAAATCCACTGCCATTGAATTAAATCAGACTCATATTGACCCTAGAGAATAACTAGAGCCACCCACTCCATGGAATCCCTAAGGTGGAAATCTTTATGGAAGCATATTGTCTGTCACTTTTTCTCCCAAAGAGTGGGTGGTAGGTTCAAAGTGCCAAATTTTGGGTTAGCAACTGAATACTTTAATCACTGTACCTCTAGGGCTCCTAAAAATCCACTGTTGATTCTGACTCATAGAAACAGCATGGGAAATAAGTATTGAGAAGCAAAACATAAAAATATCCTTAATTTCAACCTATGTAAACAATTTGATGAGCTACCCAAAACAATTGTAGCCACAAATACAAAAGGTATTTATACTAAAGAATATATATCCAGTTTAATTGCCATGGAATCAGTGAAATCAGCTAAAGCCAACACTTAAATATCAGTTTTTTTCAGCTAGGAACAATAAACCTGGAACCTTTTGTGCTTATAGTTCTATTCTGAAAAACTGTCGTATTTTAAATTAAAGACAGCTTAACTAATTTACTGGACTCTTGGTGTGGTGCTGTAGGATCAGCACTAGATTGCAAACCATAAGGTTGGCAGTTCAAACCCACCAACTGCTCCTCAGAAACCCTATACAGGGTCGCTATGAGTCAGAATTGACTCGATGGCACTTAACAACAACAACCAACTAATTTACAAGGATCTGTATGTGAAAGTATAGACCAGTCATCTTTGCCTGAAAGTATAGAGTTCTGTTTTCCCCTTTCCTAGCATCTGGTCTGATGTGCAACCCCCTATGACTTTTGGATGGGAACATGCTCACTTCCAAATTACTATGAAGTCTTGCTATTTCTGGAGGATGAGGAGATTAGGAGGAGAGCAACTGCTTCTAAATCTCTTCATCATAAAAATGAAAAGCTGCTACTGATGATCAAATAATGCCCATTGCTACCTCTAATATTTATATGATAACATTCAGAAGATGGGACTTATCACTTTAGATTCATCATCTTAAATTCAATAATTCTTGACTGTATTGACCTGTGAAGGAACACAGAGCTGAAAATATATTATATCATTAAATTGAGACTTAAACATTGATTCTGGTATCAAAACTATTCACAGAATAGGAAGTGCACAGCCCTTCATTTTGCTGCCACCCAAGGAGCCACGGATATTGTTAAATTGATGGTATCTTCCTATTCTGGTGACTCTGATATTATTAATGTGTTGGATGGAAATCAGGAGACACTACTTCACAGGCAAGTTTCCGACCTTGCTTTTCATGTACAGATGTTTTGTCTTTACCTGTTAAACTGTACCCTGCAAGTGTGAGTTAAACACTTACACTAGCAAGTTATTCTAGAATTAAAAGCAAGAGAACAAAGATAAGAAAGATCTTATGGTTCAACTGGAATTTCTATTCTTCTAGAATCACAGAATGATGTTAAATGGGTTTTCACAGAATAAAATCTCCAGGGACATATTCTGAACCCATTCTTAGTCCAATGAACGTTGCTCCAGATTACTTTCTTAGATGCTAAAGAGTCTTACAACAACTAATCTGTTAATTTGTTATACCACGGTGGCTTGTTTGTTGATGTGATTCTGGAAGCTATGCCATGGGTATTTTGAATGCAAGCAGGGAAACAGTGAACAGGTTGCAGGTGAGCTTCCACATTAAGACAGGCTAGGAAGAAGGAGAGACAGACTACTTCTGAATATTTAGTCACTAAAAACCTTGTTAATAGCAGTGGAACATTGTCAACACCACATTATTAAATATTGAAACATGATGAAGAGCACCAGAATATTGCCAGATATTGTGCTGGAAGATGAGAACATCAAGTTGGAAGGCACTAAAAATGCTACTGGGGAAGAGCTGCCTCCTCAAAATATAGTTGACCGTGATGACATGAATGAAATAGAGCCCATGGGACCTTCATTTGCTGATGGGGCACAACTCAAAATGAAGAGAAACAGCTGTAAACAAACGAAATGGAATGTACAAAATATGAATCTAAGAAAATGAGAAATTGTCAAAAATGAAATGGAACATATAAACATCGATATCCTAGATATTAGTGAGCTAAAATGCACTGGTATTGGCCATTTTGAATCTAACAAGCACATAGTTTACTATGCTGGGAATGACAAATTGAATAGGAATGGTGTTACATTCTTCATCAAAAAGAACATATCAAGATCTATCATGAAGTACAATACTGTCTGTGACAGGAAAATATCCATATGCCTACAAAGAAGACCAGATAATACCACTATTATTCAAATTTATGCACTGACCACTAAAGCCAGTGATGATGAAATTGAAGAATTCTAACAACGTATTCAGTCTGAAATTGACCAAACATGCAATCAAGATGTATTGATAATTACTGGTGATAGGAATGAAAAGGTTGGAAACAAACAGGAAGGATAAGTGGTTGGGAAATACGGCCCTGGTAATATAGAAATGATGTTGGATATTGCATGATAGAATTTTTCAAGAACAATGACACGTTTGTTGCAAATACCTTTTTTAAACAAGGTAATCTTTTGGATTACCTTTTCCTAAAAGTAATCCAAAGATGATTGGATCTCACCAGATGGAACACACAGAAATCATATTGACTACATCTGTTGAAAGACATGGCAAAAATATTCCATATCATCAGCCAAAACAAGGACAGGGGCAGACTGTGGAACAGACCATCAATTTGCATCAATTTTCTCATATGCAAATTCAGGCTGAAGCTGAAGATAATTAAAACAAGTCCACAAGAGCCAAAATATGATCTTGAATATATCCCACCTGAATTTAGAGATCATCTGAAGAACAGATTTGATGCATTAGATACTAAAGACCGAAGACCAGAAGAGTTGTGGGATGATATCAGAAACTTAAGGAAAGAAATCAAAAGGTCATTAAGAAGACAAGAAAAAAGGAAAAGACCAAAATGGATATCAGAAGAGATTCTGAAATTTGCTTTCCAGGGTAGAGATGCCAAATTAAATGAAAGAAATGAGGAGGCACAAGAGCTGACAGAAAATTTCAAAGACCAGCTCGAGAAGACAAAGTCAAATATTATAACACAATGAAAGACCTGGAGTTAGAAAGCCACAAAGGAAGAACACACTCAGCATTTCTCAAGCTGAAGGAACTGAAGAAAAAATTCAAACCTCAACTTGTGGTATTGAAGGATTCTATGGAAACATAATTGAATGATGCAGAAAGCATCAAAAGAAGATGGAAGGAATACACAGAGTCACTGGACCAAAAAGAAATGGTCGATGTTCAACCATTTCAAGAGGAGGCATATGATCAAGAGCCAGTGATCCTGAAGGAATAAGTTCAAGTTGCATTGAAAGCATTGGCAAAGAACAAGACACCAGGAACTGATAGAATACAAATTGAAAAATTTCAGCAAAGTGATGTGGCACTGGAGGCACTCAATTATCTATGCCAAGAGGTTTGGAGGACAGCTACTTGGCCAATTGACTATAAGAGAACCTTACTTGTGTCCACTCCATAGAGAGGTGACCCAAAGGAATATGGAAATCATAGGACGATAACATTTATATCCCATGTGAGTAAAGTTTTACTAAAGGTAATCCAAAAATGACTGCAACCATTCATTGACAGAGAACTTCCCAAGGTTCAAGCTGGGCTCAAAAGAGGACGTGGGATGAGGGATATCATTGCCGACATCAGATGGATCTTGACTGAGAGTAGAGACGCTCAGAAAGATGTTTACCTGTGCTTTATCAACTATGCAAATGCATTTGATTGTGTCGATCATGACAAGCTATAGACAGCATTGCGAAATAAGGGTATTTCAGAACACTTAACGTTGCTCATGAGGAACCTGTATATAGACCAAGAGGCAGTTATTCGAACAGAACAAGAAACACCGAATAGATTGAAAGTAGGAAAGCTTTGCACCAGGGTTGTATTCTCTCACCATATTTAATCAATCTATATGCTGAGAAAATAATCTGAGAAGTGGATTAGATGAAGAGAAATGTGGCATCAGGAATGGCAGGAGACTCATTAACAACCTGTGATATGCAGATGATACAGTCTTGCTTAGTGAAAGTGTAAAGGACATAAAATACTTAGTGATGAAGATCAAAGACCACACCCTCCATGATGTGTTGCATCTCAATGTAAAGAAAACAAAAATCCTTACAAACAGACCAATACACAACAGCCATATAAATGGAGAAAAGATTGAAACTGTCAAAGAATTCATTTTTCTCAGATCAACCATCAACACTCATGAAAGCAACAATTAAGAAATCTATGACATACTGCATTAGACAAATCTGCTGTACAAGACCTCTTTAAATTGTTCAAGAGCAAAGATGTCAGATTGAGGACTAAGGTGTGTCTGACCCAAACCATATTTTCAGTGACCTCAGATGAATGCGAAATTTGGACAGTAAATAAGGAAGACCATAGAAGAATTGATGCATTTGAGGTATGGTGTTGGAGGAGAATATTAAAAGTACCATGAACTGCCAAAAGAACAAACAGTTCTGTCTTGGATGAAGTACCGCTAGAGTGCTCCTTGGAAGCCAGGATGGCCTAACTTCGTCTCTCATACTTCAGGTGTATTATCAGGAGGGACCAGTCACTGAAGAAGGATATCATGTTTAGTAAAGTAGAGAGTTGGAGAAGAGGAGGAAAACCCCCAATGAGATGATTGGCACAGTGGTGGCAGAAATGGACTCAGACATAGCAGCAATTGTGAGGTTGGCCCAGGACCTGGCAGTGTTTCATTCTGTTATACATAGGGTCTCTGTGAGTCTGTACCAACTCGATGGCACCAAACAACTACTGCTACTGAGGAGTCTTGGTGTGGCACTGGCGGATAAGCACTGGACCACAAGTTTGGTTTGAACTGCAAATTTGGCAATTGAAACCCAGCTCCTTGGAAACCCTATACAGGGTCACTATGAGTTGGAACCAGTTCAACAGCACTTAACAACAATAAGGTGGTCAACATGTAAAAATTTCCAAGTGCTTTCTAACCTGTTCCAATTCCTCATGTATGTCTTATCCTAATTTTTAGCGAAGATAATGGAGCAGATACATATGAAAGCTCCACTCTTTTCACCCTATTTCCCTACTAACCAATCCCAGTAGTATAACCACACCAAAAACCAAACCCACTGCCATTGAGTCGATTCTAACTCATAATGCAAAACCCTAGATGGGGTTTTTGATACTATAAGTCTTTGTAGGAATAGAAAGCCTCATCTTTTTCCTGAGGAGTAGCTGGTGGATTTGAAATGCTGACCTTATAGTCCAACACCTAACCAACGATGCTTACAAGTATTGATAAACTATTTCAAAATAGTAGAAAATTATAGACAAGTCCCAAACAAGATACATATATCTGTGTGGCACTGTAGGATAAGCACTGGACTGCTAAATTCAGTGGTTCAAATCCACCACTCTTAGGAAACCCTAGAGAGTCTCTATGAGTCTGAACTGACTGGATGGTACTTAACAACAGCAACAACAATGTAGCATAAAGCATCTGAAGATGTAAGTTTACTAGATGTTAGGAAGCAGGCAGTATAGACTGAACTTTGGGAAGACAAGGATTAAATACTGCATGTGTGAAACAGGTGTTGAGATGGGATGAGGCTATTCACCAAAAAACAGTAACAAAAGCACTGACCATGCACAGGACCCTGTAGTCCTGGTGTGGCACTGCAGGGTAAGCACTAGACTACTAACCACAGAATTGGCAGTTCAAACCCACCAGCTACTTCTTGGAAATCCTATATAAGGGCAGACTTGATGGCACTTAAGAATAACAACAACATGCTGGAAACCTAGCATCCCAGAAAACAGCTGAGATGTTCCTAGTAGAAAACTGGGCCAGAAAATCTACATTATCCCTCAGGGAAAAAGGAGTCCTGGTGTGTCTTTGTGAGATAATGCACTAGATCACAAGGTCAGTTTGAACCTCAAGGTCAGTGGTTCAAACTCAGCAGCCGATCCTGATCCTCAGAAACCCTATACAGGATTGCTATGAGTCAGAACGAGTCGATGGCACTTAACAACAAGAACAACAACCAATATAAGAATGTGGGTCTCAACTGGGGAGGAGAGGTAGATGTAGAGATCTGTAAAACCTCCAGACACAATTGGATAAACATGAGTAGAAAGGAACTCACACTTAGAATTTTTGCAAGCTAAAAATCCTATAACCTAAAGGAAACGTAAAAAGACAGCAAAGACAACCAAGGGTTAACTTACTTCCATGAAAATAGAAATCATGGCGCAATCTTGAAAACACCGATATTTTATTGTTCTGTGTTGTCCAGTTGGTTCTAAATAACATCGATCCTCTATGGGATTTCCTAGAGTGGCTGGTGGTCCTCATAGTGGTTCTCATAGTGGTCCTGTACAAAGTTTCTGAGAAAGTGCCAACTTTATGGGTAGCGGTCCAATGCTCATCTTACATCACTATATCAGGACCCAAGGATATTTAATGACCCTCAAAAAATTAAAGGAAGGAAAAAAACACTATGTAAAAACTCCAAACCAAACCCACTGCCACTGAGTGATTTCCGGCTCAGCAACTCTATACAGCATTTCCAAGACTAAATCTTTACAGGAGCAGACATCTTTCTCCCACACAGTGGTTACTGGGTTTGAACTGTCAATCTTTTGGTTAGTGGCCCAATGCCTAACCCATAGCACCACCAAGCCTTTTCCATATAAATATACATACATTAAAACAACTGAAAAACAAATTTGTGTTTGTGCTATAAAACATACCAATTTTTAAAACAGCAGAAATGAAGAAAAATTTAAAAACTGAAATGTAACTAAAACATCATAGTTAATAGATTAACCTACAGACCAGAGATTCTCAAACTGTTGCACAGTAGAATCCTGTAGGGTGCTTTAAAAATGCCAGTACCAGTTCTTACCCCAGATTAAATCAGAAACTCTAAAAGGGCCCACAGTAATCCATGGGTTGCTCTTGTTTTGTTCCGTTTTTAAGAAACTCCAGTGTTCAGCCAGTTTTCAAACCCAATTACCTGAGTATAGTTGGAAATTTTTGTTCATTTAGAACACAACTTTAATATACAAATAGGCATAAAAAGGAGTTATCTTTAGAAAAGCAGGCCCAACCATTTCACCTGTAAATTTCCTTAATCTGGTGACAACTATAACTGGACAATTGCAAATTGGATTACTTAAAGTTTCTGGGACCACATTAGTTCAAGTTTGATAAATCTGATACTGACCTGAGACCCTAGAATAACCTCTGTTATCACTGAGTCAATTTCAATCACAGTGCTCCTATAGAACAGAGGCGGACTGCCCCATAGCGTTTCCAAAGTTGTAAAGCTTTGCAGCAACAGACTGATACATCTTTCTTCTGCAGAGCGCCTGGTAGTTTCAAACAGACATTTTGGCTAGCAGCTGAGCATCTAACTGATGTGCTACCAGGAGTTTTTTGCCCTTTGAATAATCAGTTACGTTTGGAATTTATCTTGAGCTTCAAGGCAAAGTCTGCACTTTGGGCTAGATTTCCTTTTTGTAACTGTAGTATAAAGACCACAGTACATTGCTGTCACTAGAACAATGAGGTTTTAGGTAAGGAGACTGGAGTTCTGGCAATTATTCTTGTCCTTTCTGGCTGTGTAACTTTTGATACGTCATTGAATCTCTCAGGATCTCACTGTCTAGATGCTCAAAGATTATGAGTTTCTAATAAGCTCCCAGATGATGCTGCTGGTCAAAAGTCCACATATGAGGAGCAAAGTCCTGGATTAAGGAGATCTAATTCCAGAATTATTATTTTATGAGGAATGGAACCTTATTAGCATTATGTACTTGCTTCCTAAAAGTTGTTGTTGTTAGTGCCATCAAATCGGTTCTGACCCATAGTGAGCCTATAGAGGGTTGCCAAGGAGCAGCTGATGGGTTTGAGCCTCCAACCTTGTGGTTAACTTTCTAGTGCTTATTCTACAGAGTCAACACCAGGGCTCTTCCTAAAAGTAGTATATTATATTAATTGTAATTTAAAGTATTGCCACCCCTTGTGAATTTTTGGTGAGATTTCACAAGCTAATTCTGAACTTTATGTATAATCTTGAATGTTAAGCGCTATTGAGTCTGTTCTGGTCCTGTATAGGGTTTCCAAGAATCTCTGAATCTTTGTAGGAGCAGTAAGTCTCATCATTCTCCCATGGAGTGGCTGATGGGCTTGAACCACCGACCTTGAAGTTTGCAGTCCATTGTTTATCCTATGGAGCCATTGCACTCCTATAATCTTGAATAGGGGTAAAGGAATAGACTTGCAATAGGAAACAGTTTTTAAATTGTTAGCTTTAACAGTTGTTATTGTGGTACTTTACTAAAGATTGAAAACTTTGATATGGCAAATTTATTATCAGTATATTTTTATTTTGATGGGAAGTCATATCCAAATGACATTTACACTTCTCTTAATTGTCTCTTTTTTTGACGTTTCACAAATACTAAGAAGGGCATCCCTGCCCTGACATAGAGAAGAGCTTGCATTTTCAGTCCTCCAATGAAGCTTAGAGTCACTTGCCTGCAGCTGGCATTATTCCCCACGATCACAGTGGTAACAGGGCTATGTCTTTCGTTTGGCACGTCAAGTCTGGGATAGAAGTTTCTACTTACTACAAAACAACGGTCATGAAGATTTTATAGGGTGGTGCTGTAGACTAAGCACTGGATTTATCCCAATCACAAAGTGGGTGGTTCAAACCCACCAACAGCTCTTAGAAACCCTATACAGGGTCGTTATGAGTTGGAAGTAATTCATCAGCACTTAACAAAAACAATAACAAAGGATAAGGAAGAAAATATTGTATTTAATTTTTTTCTATTACTATTAGTTTGGAAATATCACCCTAATCAGAATCAATCATAGTTGTGAAAGATGACTAATTCTCTAATATTGTATCATGTTCTTAAATGACAAGTGACATTTGCTTTCTGAATATAGTAGCTATGTTTTATACATTTATGTCAACAGCACCTTACTATTATTTTTGTTTTGCAGAGCTTCATTGTTTGATCACCATGAACTTGCAGAATATTTAATTTCAATGGTAAGTATTTATGTGACAGGTTTATTTTGTTTATTACAATTTACAGTTGAAAATTCTATAATTACACAAAATGGATCTTCAAACTTAAACCAAAATTTGTATTTAACAACAAAGAAAGTTTACAAAAGGATGATTGACGTATTTGCAAATAAGAGCACACTGTATCTTAATACATTAGCATCGACTTTCCTTATGATGATGTTTGAAGTACCAAAGTGTACTTTTTGATGCCCTGTTTTATCTTGATACAATAATTATGCTTGAGGCATGGTATAGTTCAATGCAAATCAAGAGAGGTGGGCCAGAAACAATTTACAAAAAAGATTATACTCCAAGTCCCTCGTGCTCATAGAGCCCCGAGGGTGTGGTGTTATGGAGTGAGGGGTGGAACATAGTCATTCACAGGGCAGAGGTTGAGCTGGAGCGTGGGAATGCACCTGTATTGTGGTTTTCTAAGAAATGTGAGAGGGAGCAGCGAGAACACGCAGGGATTTCTTGTTCAGCTATATTTGAAGCTCTGGCCTGGTGGCTTGAGGATGCCAAATGAGAGACAGAACTGATTTGTTATCTAGGTATAGGAACATGGGTCAGATTATTTGGTGTGGATATGAAAACATCTTATTACAAAAGCTAGAATACATAGTTAGTACATACCCATAGTGATGTTTCTAACGCTGGCAGCTTGTGGGTACGGAAGCTATTCCTTATGTCTGGGAACTGGATTTAGCAGTGGGTGAGTCTCGGGCTACCTGACTAAGCACACTTGTCTTTGAGTGGGGCCTGTCAGCTTCGTCTTCCATTGTGCATTACACCAGCTGCCTCAGTATCATCGTTCAAACAATGAAAAACTGAAGAACTGAAAAATACAGTTTCCAAGGTTTGCTACAAGTAAAAGCATGAGGTGTTTTTTCGGTTTCTTGTTTTTTTCTCTCTCACATAAGAAGTGTAATAAGTCAGATTTTGAGTTAAATTTTAATAAAGCCTCTATATGGATGAATATATGATTGATTTAAGCTCTATGATCTCAGCAATGAATGCAGCCCCATTTGTAGTGTTTAACATGCACTTATTGTCAATAGCAACTATTGAAATTGTGATATTTACATAGAAGAATCCTAAGAAGAGACTCAGTATATAGTTTATGACATGCATGGTTTCATTCAAATGAAATGATCTCTTGAGCAGGCATGAAAACTCTACCACTGTGCTTTCAAATGGTTACTGCCATTAGATTAATTCATATACATTCAATGTACCCCCAAAAGTCACACAATAATCACAGTCATAGCTTAAACTATTCTTACTACTCTTTACAAAATATATGACACATACCGTAACATTTTAAAAAGCCTTTTTCTAAAGTCATATCAAATATTATTACTGTGATACATAATGGTAAACATTAACTTATTCATTTAAAAAAGTCCTGTGATTTTAATATAAATTTTCTTAAATAAATATTTCAGTTAGTTATTTTAAAACTTAAATTCAAGATACATGAAGTAGATTTTTTAAAATAAAAGTGAATGATTTGTTTTGAAATTTTTTATCACATAATTTTGGCACATCTTTAAAATCTTGATTTTTAAAAACTATTTCTTAAAGTGAGGATCAAGCTCATGCTATAGGTCAAAGGGTTTTATTTTTATGATTAAAATAGTAACAGAAAGCTATTGCCTGTTGTCAGTCAAAAGATTAGCTATGAGAATATTTTTTGTTGTTAAAATTATGAAAGAATGCCTTGATTTCTGATGTTGCAATATATGAATTACAGGGAAAATTTCAGGGATAACATAGTTTGTCATGCCTGGAAATGCTAGTTATATTCATTCTGTTCTATTGATTTGCTATTAGTTAGGGATGATTTATTTGTTCACATGCTCTTAGTTGACATTTACACTTCTCTTAATTGTCTCTTTTTTTGACAATTTAACCAAACTGTTTTATTTTAGGGAGCAGATATTAATAGCATTGATTCTGAAGGACGTTCTCCGCTTCTGTTAGCAACTGCCTCTGCATCTTGGAATATTGTGAATTTGCTACTCTCGAAAGGTACCAAGAAGAAACCAGCTGAGCCTTTAGAATCATTATTCAGTTTGGTTAAATAAACATTTGTTAACCATCTGTTGTGTGCTGGGAACTGAGTCAGGCACTTTGATAGAAAGATAAATTGAACTCTAACCATATCTTGAATAATTTCACTCCTGGTGTGGTGTTGTAGGATCAGCACTGGACTGTGAACCACAGTTCAAACCCACCAGCTACTCCTTGGAAACCCTATATAGCAAGGGTGGGTAACCTTTGTTCTGCCAAAATTTATAACATCATTTGTGGACCATACAAAATTATCAGCTGAAAAATTAGCCTGCTATATTTGGTCAAACATTTAATTAACTCACCCCTAATGTAATAGCTAAGGAGCTCTGGTAGAATAGTGGTTATGAGTTGGACTGCTACCCTCAAGGTCAGCAGTTTGAACTACCAGCTGTTCCATGGGAGTAAGATGAGGCTTTCTGCTTCTGTAAAGATTTACAGCCTCGGAAACCCTATGGAGGGTTGCTGTGAGTTGGAACAGACTCTAGGGCACATCACCACTCCCACCACCAATGTGATGACTGGAACTGCAGTTGCCTTGGCAGGGCCAGACCAAATGATTTCACAGACCTTATATGACCCATGGAGTCCTCATGTGGTGCTGTGGGTTAATGCGTCACACTGCAAAGTCATTTGAACTGCAAGGTCTGTGATTGCAGCTCACCAGCTGCTCCTTGGAAACCCTATACAGGGTTGCTATGGGTTGGAATCAACTCTACGGCACTAACAACAACAACAATATGACCCACAGCCTGATGTTCCCCACCCCTGGTATACAGGGTTGCTGTGAGTTGGAACTGACTCGAATGGCACTTAACAATAACAAGGAAATGTTACATAAAGCAACAGTTTCAGAATAATAATAGATGATATTTATAATATAATTATTACTTTTCAGGCATTTTGATGGACATTTTATCAATATTCATTCAATCAATTAATCCAATGTTGTGTAGGTTCTGTAACTATCCCCAATTTAGGTACTTCATGCCAACAGTACATTGAGGAGATGTATCTGTTTTTTCCTACTTTCAACCTCTCCATATTTATAGTTTATGCCAAGACCTCATAAATGTATTATATTACATATTTTCCTCCCCAACACTGTTACATACAATTGTTCCACTAAATATGCTTAGTTTTCTTATCTAAATACAATTTCATATGTTAGTCAAAGTATTAAGTTGAAAATCTTTTGTTTTCTCAAATTTACTATTGTCCATGCTTTACCTAAATGAAGAAGTTTTATTTTTATCATGTTTTGTTTTGTTGTTTAGGTGCCCATGTAAACATAAAAGATTATCTTGGACGTAATTTTTTGCATTTGACTGTACAGCAACCCTGTGGATTAAAAAATTTGCAACTTGAGTTTATGCAGGTAAATTTATACGTGTATGTGGGTAATTTGTATGGAGCTTCAGAATGAGCTTCAACACAGCAAAGTAATTTGCTTTTTATGGTATGTACTATTATGACACAGGACAGTGTTTCGTTCTGTTGTGCATAGAGTTGCTATGAGTCAGTACCAACTTGATGGCACCTAACAACAACAACAACATTGAAAACTGACTCTAGAATTTGTATCAGTGTTTTAAAATAAAGATGCCATTATTTGAGTGTTTATTTACAAGATGGTGCTAATGATTAATTAATTAACTAACTAAGGATTGATTTTTGTAAGTCATAGAAAGTTTCCATATATTCCCATATATAAAGATTCATGCATAATTTATCAGTTTTATTTCTTTTTTAAACCATTATAAACTGCATGTCAGGAAAAGAGAGTTAGTCAAGTACGTAAGTGAATTAATAATACTTCATAATCAATTAAGAAAATATAAATGCTTATTGATTAGACTAAGATGCTCATTTGTTCACTCAGTTTTGACTTAAAATGACTTAAAACGTAAAGTAAATTTAATTTTAACATCCTATGGAGCTCTGGTAGCGTAGTGGTTACGAATCAGGCTGTGAACCGCAAGGTCAGCGGTTCGAAACTACCAGCTGTTCCACGGGAGAAAGATGAGGTTTTCTGCTCCCGTAAAGATTTACAGCCTCGGAAACTCTGCACAGGGCCGCTATTAGTCGGAACTGACTCCATGGCACATAACAACAACAATAACAACAATGGGCCAAAGTTCTTCTCTGACACAGATGGAATTGCCATTAGTAGGAACCAACTTCAGGGGAACTGATAAACTGGTCATCTTCGCATCTGTTTTCTCTAACAGAGCACATTAGTGTTGGCTGATGAGGGCATTTGCAGGCAGAAAAGAGGAAGGGATGAGCAGGGGCTCTGTGTTCAAATACAGTTTGAAAATACTTGTGTAAAAAGTCACAGCTAGTATAAAAAACATTAAAGTATAACTCTAACTTGAAGGACTGTTCAGTGCCTTTAACTTTTTTTAAATTTTATTTTTTTTTATTATTTTTTCTTAAATGTTTTATTGTGAATTATGTGATAGTTTACATGGGAGAACATTAGTTTTACATTCATTCTATCGTATATCGTCTCATTGCCATGGTTACAATCCCCTCCATGCAATCCTTCCCCGTACTCCCCAGGTCTTCAGCACACAGTCGCTCTCCCTCTCTGGATCTAAAGTCAGTGCTTTTAATTTGATAAGGTATATTATAGGGGGACAGAGTCCACAACATTACCATACTTTTGGAGAAATACATTTAATTCTAGTATCCTTTAGGGTATTAACATTTTCCCCTGCAGCAATGCATATTGACCTTTGTTGGAAAATTTGATACTACCCTGCAGTACAGATTGAAAAACATTGCTTTAGCATAGCATTGCTATATGTAGAATATTTTCCCTACAGATGCAACATATTAAAGAGTTGGTCATGGATGAAGACAACAATGGCTGTACCCCTCTACATTATGCTTGTAGACAGGGAGTTCCTGTCTCGGTAAATAACCTACTTCACTTCGATGTGTCCATTCATTCCAAAAGCAAAGATAAGAAATCACCCCTGCATTTTGCAGCCAGGTAAGGGCCAGTGTGTCCAATATCTGAGCTTGCCTTATTTCTGTTGAATATTTGCTGTGCAACTGTCATCTTAATCTTTTCTCAAGTTACGGACGTATCAATACCTGCCAGAGGCTCCTACAAGATATAACTGATATGAGGCTTTTGAATGAAGGTGACATTCATGGAATGACTCCTCTCCATCTGGCAGCCAAAAATGGACATGATAAAGTTGTTCATCTTCTCCTGAAAAAAGGCGCGCTATTTCTAAGGTGAGAATATATCCTTACGAGTTAGTTATTTCCAGATTGGTTTCCTATTTTATTTTTAATTATGATACCTAACTTTACAGCTCACTAAGCAATCTTTTTTTTTTATCTTGTTTCTTAAAATATGAATTCTCATATATTGAAAAGGACATCAGTATTTGTAGTTGACAAATGAAGACATCAGGTTTAGAGACCTGAAGACCTTGTTCAAGGTCAAGGAAAAGTGGTTTTGAGTATAATAGTTTTTAGACCTTTTGATAGTTTCTCAACTATAAGTTCATATTGCTATGTTTTTATACATATCTGTTTACATCTGTATACATGTGTGGGTATGCACAAACATACACACATACGTCCAAAGACCCTCTTTTCATTCACTCCCGTTATTGAAATAAAAAACTCAGGATGCATATTAGAAAGTGTTGAACTTTGTTTTACTTAAAGGAATTCCAACAGAAGGAACAAAACGAAGTTTCGAAAATGTGCTGGACTGCAAAGTCAGTTGGAACTGCAAGGTCTGCAGTTCAAGCTCACTAGTTGCTTCTTGGATACCCTATACAGGGTCACTATGGATTGGAACTGACTCGATGGCACTTAGCTACAACAAATATAAAAGTGACATACCTATATGACCTTATTTTTATAAAGAAAAAAACTGGAAATATGAATTAACTTCTCAATTTAACTAGGTTCTAGCAAAGAGTTCATTAGGGTAATTTCCAAAGCCCTCGTTTTTTATATGCACACAAATGTCAACAAAGTAATGCCACAACCATGCAATGCGTGCTTTGTTTAGTTCCTGTCAGTTTGCAAGGGAGCACTAAGCAGCAGAGCTACAAGGTGTCTACCAAAGTGGGCCTGAATGAAGAGCTGCTGCTTCACTGAAATACTCAGGGGTCTCTGGTATCTTAAAATAACTGCATGTTAGTACTGCAATTAAATGGTTTGAGAACCTCATACATAGCTTCTTTGTCTAATTTCCAAAAGAATCACTAAGGTGACAAACCTTCATTATACTGACATCTTGAGTTTTTGTGATAAAGGACACAAATTGGAAACATTTCCCAAAGGGATTGTGTAAGCATATTTAAGAACGCAAAAGGAAAAAAATCTCAAGGCCTGAATTTTAGAAGAATATGTGACACTAATCTCAGTGTCTTAGAGTCATGGATGGGCTCTCTGATTATTATTATTTTTTAATTGGTTGTCATAGATTGAATTGAGCTTCCCCCAAATAAGGGTCAATATGGCTAGGTCATGATTCTTAATGATTTTTCCATTATGTAGTGTGGCAGTTATATGATTTCCCATGATGTGATCTGATGTGATGAATCAATAGGAGGGTTAAAAGGGGGCTGCAATACCCTTAATCCCATCATAATCTTGGTCAAATGCGATGGAACTTCCCAACAATAGAAGAGGAGATGAATGAGAAAAGGAAGAAGGATTTATTCCCATCAAGAAAAAGAGCCAACAGTGAAGTGCCTCCTTTGGACCTGAGGCATCTGCACTGCGAAGGGGAAGATTAATGCCAAGATGAATGCAGATCATCAAGGAATGTTGGGCCAACAGATGCTGAAAGGAGACACTTTTCTCAAGAGCCCTTTCTCTGAATTCAGATTTCCACCCTCCTAAATTGGTGTGTCCTGGTATGGCTTTGTGGGTTAATGCGCTAGACTGCAAGGTCGGTTTGAACTGCAAGGTCCACAGTTCAAGCTCTCCAACCGCTCCTCAGAAACCCTATACAGGGTCAACATGAGTCAAAACCGACTCGACAGCACTTAACAACAACAACAAACTGGTGTGGCGCTGTAGGATAAGCACTGAACCACAAAGTCGACTTGAACCACAAGGTTGGTGACTCAAACTCAACCAGCCATTCCTTGGAAACCTTATATGTGTTGAGACCAACTCGGTGGCACTTAACATCAACAACAGACTGTGACAGAATCCATTCCTGTTTATTAAAGTCATCCACGGCTGGTATTTCTGTTACAGCAGCACTAGAGAACTAAGACATTAGTATTAATAATATTAGTAGTAACCATATAACCTCAGGGTCAGCAGTTCGAAACTACTAGCGGTTCCGCAGGAGAAAGATGAGGCTTTCTGCTCCCCTAAAGATTTACAGCCTTGGAAACCCTGTACAGGGTCGCAATGAGTCAGAACCAACTCCATGGCACATCACCACCACCACTGGCCAGTAGGAGTCCCGGTGTGGCTCTATGGATTAATGCGCCAGACTACAAAGCTGTTTCAACTGCAAGGTCAGCAGTTCAAGCTCTCCAGCTGCTCCTTGGAAACCCTATACAGGGTCGCTATGGGTCGGAAGCAACTCAACGGCACTTAACAACAACAACAACGTTGGCCTGGAAGACTAATATCATCATAAAATTTTTATATAATAAAATAAAATTTAAAAGAGCACATTTAAGCTTATTGTAGCTTAGGAAAAAATATGACACAGAAATGCTAATTCTAGTTTCCTCCACTTTTAAATTTTTGGTAGTGTGCTGATATAATTTTAATATTTTAACATACTAAATAAAAATGTAAGGATCCCTGTTAGTGTCGTGGAATACAAGTAAGGCTGCTAACTTCAAGGTCAGCAGTTCGGATCTACCAGCAGCTCTATGATAGAAAGATGACTTTCTGCCCTTGTAAAGTATTACAGCCTCAGAGACCCTGTACAGGGTCACTATCAGTCAGAACTGACTCAACAACACAAAACCACCACCACCACCAAATAAAAAATATGTATAAATCACACTGCAGGTAACTCATTTAAAAAAAATTGAAATTGAGAGTTGTTAATTTATTATTAATGGAAAATGAATATTTGGTTGCTAGATCTGGACTGCTAACCTCAAGGTCGACAGTTCCAACCTAACAGCTGCTCCTCTAAAATTCTGAACAGGGTCTTTGCGTATTGGAATCTGACTCAAAGTCACTTAATAACAGCAAAAACAACAGATTTCAATTATGCAGTTTTTGTCATCAGAATCACCTTTTAGATTAATGAACTGTGTGGTATCACTTCCCATCTTACTTGTGTAAAGCATATGCAGGTATACACACATTGATTCTTAACTCTTCCACAGTGACTATTATGGCTGGACTGCTTTGCATCATGCTTCCCTGGGTGGGTACACACAGACCATGAAGGTCATTCTGGATACCAATTTGAAGTGCACAGATCAGCTGGATGAAGAAGGGGTACGTACACGTTCTTCCTGTCAACCTCAGATCTTAGGGAAAGCCTCCTTAGATATCTACTTCCCTTCCTTGCCTCATTACCAATCATTTGTTGGGTTCTTAGCACACAGAATCTGGGGGTGGGGAGTGAATAGAAGAGAACAGAGTAAGAAGAATGCCACGGGATGGGCCCATGCTGAAGACCCTTCTCCAGTTTCACCTAACCCCATCCACAGGCCTATGCAGATTGATGAGAAAACATTCACCAATTTCTGGTGAACTGAGAGTAATGAGGAGGGTAGGGTGAATTTTCAATAAAATTAAATGTATTTTAAGAACTATCTCATATCCAGCTATTATGTCCTATTTTAGGAGAAGGAGATTATTGAAATGTATTGAAATTGTTTCATGAAACAATGGAGACAAATGAGTGTAGTGGGTTTTTGTTCTAAATCTTCTTCTGTTGTGCTGAAACTAAAAATTGGCACCCTAATAATAATCTCTGAATTTTTGTATATGTACTAGATTATAAAACCTAAAATATGTAAACCGCTTCTCTACTAGATGACAAATCCACCAGGAGTCTTCTCTTTGTGTTCACTCTAGAATCTCATCCCTAAAAGTATGTCCTTTGTCCTTGAAGAATCATCCCACTGCAAAAAAACAAAACAAAACCGAACACTGAAGTTTTCTTTCAGACACACAGTCAGGCCCTTCTCCTCTCCTCTCCCCTCCCCACCATGTTTGAACTATTAACTTAATATTTTAAATCCTGATTTAAAAACCAGTCGCAAATTTTGTGTATGTTAGCAATTAAGTCATGAGTTTTGCTAAGACTTTCTTTTGACTGAATTTTCTGTTCTGTTTTCTCTAAAAGAACACTGCGCTTCACTTTGCCGCAAGGGAAGGCCATGCCAAAGCTGTTGCACTTCTTTTGAGCCACAATGCTGATATTGTCCTGAACAGGCAGGATGCCTCCTTTTTGCATGTTGCAATTCACAACAAAAGAAAGGATGTGGTTCTTACTACCATCAGGAGTAAAAGGTACACCACCTTCTTATCCAGGGTTATTAATACTATCTGTCATGAGGTATGGTTTACAAACACAGAAGGGATTTTAAAATGCCATTTATTCACATAAATCTTAGTTTTAGCTAACTTTTTCGGCAACAGCAGACAGGTTGCTTAACCTCTCTGATTTTCATTTCTAATACATGGAGGAAAATATCGCCTTGGTAGGGCTTTTGTGAGATCATAACTGTGTAATGCCTGGCATCATGGTCATTGTTAAGTAAGCTCTTCCCTGCCTTACTTGAAATTGCCTTAGTCTCCTGCCAACAGAAAATCCCAAACTGTGTAGTGAAATCTCCCTTAATATGTGATCTTTTGTGGTTGTTGGCTTTCAAACCATTCTCTAAGGAGTTCTGGTGTGGCGCTGTAGGATAAGCACTGGGCTGCAGAGGTGGCAGTTCAAATCCATCAGTTGCTCATTAGAAACCCTATATGGGGTAGCTATGAGTTGGAACTGACGTAACAACAACAAAGGAGTTTGAGTGATAGAGATGGAGGGTTAATTTACCCACTTGTCATACAGGAGCTTTTCTGTATAGTCACAGGTAGGTATGTCCAGGGACCTAGTAGACAGAGATATGAGAAACCTTACATTTGAGACAAGTTGGACCTGTGCTTTTGAGTACTGTTAGTCTCAAGAAACACCAGTTGATATGAGTGTAAAACTGAAAGTTTTCTGGTGATAAACCAGATCATGTAGCTAGATTTTCCTGACTGGGTTAATGGAAAATGTGTCTGGCTGTTTTTAGAACCAATCTGCTATCACCTTCACATGATTGTGAAATCAGCAGACTCTCCTTCCTGTTGCAGATTTCTGCTCTCCTTCACATTGTAGGCACATTCATGGCCAATTCAACTGGATAGGGATGACAAGAAGAGGCAAATTCTTCAGTGTTCTGGCAGGGTCCATGATTATTAATATACTTGATAACATGTTATTTTGTCTTTTAATTCCATGCATGATGCATACATTGACTACATACTAAATATTATGTGCACAGTATAATGCTGCTGAAATATATATGTAAGTGTGGATATCCCTACCAAACACAATCAGCACTGAAAGTACATACCATTTCATGGCTTTGGGAGGAAAAGAAGATGAAAGCCTTTCTTTTTTTGGAAGGCATTGAGGGAAAGAGATTATAACAGCCATCCTGATATTGGCTTCTATTCCTAATGTCCACTAATAGATCAGGAACCCACTGATGGATTGATCTTGGCTGGAACCAGTGGATGAGCATTCCTTATGATTGAAGTAAAATTCAGCCTCTTCCTGAAAATAAAATCTTGATATCTGTAGCTTTGTTGCTGCTCAAAACAGATTAATAATTTATGTTTGTTTTTAATAGATGGGAAGCATGTTTTAAGACATTTAATCACTATTCTCAAAGTAATAAATGTCCTGTCATGGAAATGGTGGAATATCTCCCAGAATGCATGAAAGTAAGTTCTCCCAACAAGATCTCTTCTGTGTATATGCCTGGCATCTCACATGATGTGAAGATTTATTTTTGTATTCACAGACTAAGTTTTCATCTTTAAATAATGCTTCTAGTTTCTCATAGTCCTTAAGGGATGTTAGCTAATAAGTATTTACTGAGGGTCTACTTGATTTAAATATTCCTAATAGTTGAGAAATCAACTTTTTAAACTCTACTATCCAAGAGTAGAGCAGAGATCACAAACTAGTGATTGCTGACTGAATAATAATAAAAATCTCTAGTTGTGTTTTGTTTGATTCTCATGTTGTTGTTATTGTTTTAAACTGACACTTGTTTCTAACTTAAAATGGGACAGTTGTTTTTGTATCCATATATCTGCCTTTCTGTGAAAATGAGAAGATCTGGTGACTGGGCCTTCCTTCTCACAAGGCAGGAATCCGAGAAGCACATTAAAATGAATGAGCCCTCTCTTCCATGGCCATACGCCACCTCTGACTTTTGAGTATCCAGCTGTAAGGTCTAGTGTTAGTTGCTGTGTACTATAAGCCTGTGTAATTCCTCTGTATACAGTACAGTGACATTTCTCTATAATTGCCTCTATAAAACAATGAAGATGCAAGCCAGCCCAAGGTTGGTCAGCCTTTCAAGAAGAATAGGAAAGATTCTTACACTTGGCATAGTGCATCTATTTACATTATGTGTTCGATGTCTATAATCATGTGAACACTTGACTCCCTATGCTAAAGGAAACATAGACCTGGCACAAGACCCAATGCCCCTCACAAGGGGTTTACTGCACATACGGCTGAACACATGAGTGTTAGAGGGATACAGGTAAAAGACCCTTTGGGAAAGTTGACATTTGAGGATTGTAACAGGCAGAAAGACCAAAAACAGGTGGTAACTAACCATTCCAAGGGAGAAATAAGTTTTTAAAAACCTGATTACACAACCATATTTGGAGCCTGGAAGCCTTGGTACTTAATCCTGGCTCTGCCTTTTGCTGGGTTGTTTGATAGGAGCCATTTACCTCTCTGAGCTTCATTTTCTATTTATCGCTACAGCAATGTTCTGATTCCAATCTTGGAAACTCATTACAAAAATTAGAGATAAAATATATGCAGTGTTCAGGATAGTGGTTGGCACCTCCTACTTTTTGATGTTGTTTCTACAATTATTAGTGGCACTTACTATTTTTATTTATGGAATAAACCCTATAATATGCTGTTTTATGTATATAATTTTTTCTTTATGGAGTCTAGTGGGAATTAAGTCTAGTCCAGTTCAGAGATGTACAGGTAAACTTTTTAGTGCATAAATATCTTCAAAGGTTGAAAATGCTCCCAAGATTCTCTTATTCAGGAATTCTAATTGTAGCAATCTATCATAATGAATGTGAAAGTTGGACAGTAAATAAGGAAGACGATAGAAGAATTGATGCTTTGAGTTATGGTGTTGGAGGAGAATATTGAAAGTGCCATGGGCTGCCCATAGAACCAACAAATCTGTGTTGGAAGAAGTGCAGCCAGAATGCTCTTTGGTGGCCAGAATGGCCAAACTTCATCTCTCATACTTTGGACATATTGTCAGGAATGACCAGTCGCTGGTGAAGGATATCATGTTTGGTAAGGTGGAGGGTCAGAGAAAAAGAAGAAAACCCCCAATGAGATGGATTGGCCAAGTGGCAGCATCGATGGACTCAAGTGTGACAACAGTAGTGAGGTTGGCCCAGGATTGGGCAGTGTTTCCTTCTGCTGTGGGTAAGGTCGCTATGAGTTGGCACTGACTTGATGGCACCTAACAACAACACCACCATCATAATGAATAATCAGACATACAGTCAGAAATACATAGAGTGGTGTTCCCTAAAGTGTCGTTTATAATAGAAAAAAGAATTTAAAATATTCACACATGAGGAAAAAAAGTTATTGAAGAAGTTATATCAAAATATTAACAAGAATTATCTCTATTGTGGGATTATGTTTGATTTTCTTTTCTTCATTTACTGTTCTGTTCTGTTAAGTGCCATCAAGCAAGTTCTGACTCATAGTGACCCTGTTTGGGGTTTCCAAGCAGCAACTGGTGGGTTTGAATTGTTGACTTTGGTTAGCAGTCCAGTGCTTATCCTACAGTACCACACCAGGACTCCTTCTTCTTCATACTGTTATATATCTTCTAGTCTAGTTTCTAGAATGATTTATATTACTTTAATATAGGGATTTTTCCCCAGTAAAATAAGGAAATTTGAAGGACTCCTGGTGTGGCACTGTGCATTAATACGCTGAACTGCAAGGCCAGTTTGAACTGCAGGGTCGGTAGTTCAAGCTCACCAGATGCTCCTTGGAAACTCTATATAGGGTCACTATGAGTCAGAACCAACTCGATGGCACTTAACAGCAACAACAGGATAAACAGTGGACTATGAAACACAAGTTCAGCAGTTCAAACCCACCAGCTGCTCCAAGGGAGAAAGCTGAGGCTTTCTGCTCTCCTGAAGATTTACAGCCTCAGAAAGCCCTCTCTAGGGCTACTATGACTTGGTACTGACTAGATGGCACTTAACAACAACAATATCATAAGGCCTTCTAGTTTAGACTCACATCATGCATTTGAATTACTTACACATATTTCTGAAAGTAAATCATTTTGTAAAACACTCAGCAACTCATTCTTTATTTTGCCTGTGCTGATTATGACAAGCTTCTCAAACTTCAAAATTAGACCTGTTTCTCTGGTTCTGCCTCGCAAAGCACTATTGACTAGCCTAGTCTTTATTTTCCATAAATTTTTGATGATACCTATTAATGTCATCAATACTGCTGGTCTGGTCACCAGCAGAGCTTTCCTTAGCATTTTCTAAGTGCCAACCATAATACAGTGCCCACAGGGTAGAGCTGGTCTCTGCTTCTCCGCTTTAGGTGCTGTCTGCCCTCTATCCCTACATTCTTCAAGTGGGATTCCCTGATGCTCCAGGAACTCTAAGAATCATTGATGGGGTCATTGGGGATCTTGTAACCAGTCCCAGTTCCATAGGGCTATATGACTGGTGCAGTATTTCCCTCTCTGGATTGTGAATTTGGGCCACTAGAATAATGCTGATACACACAATTTGGGTTAACTCAAATTCTTTATGTAGACAAGATCTTTATGTAGATAGGTACCATCAGTATATTTGCTTAAGACCCCACACACATTAGGGATGGCCCTAATGGTCCCATACGTGTTTCCTTTTTAAGTTATGTATCTAGAGTTATCGTTGTTGTTGTTGCTATATGCCATGGAGTTGGTTCAGACTCATAGTGACCCTGTACCGGGTTTCCGAGGCTGTAAATCTTTACGGAAGCAGAAAGCCTCATCTTTCTCCCGCAGAACAGCTGGTAGTTTCGAACTGCTGACCTTGTGGTTCACAGCCCAATTCGTAACCACTACGCAACCAGAGCTCCTTATGTATCTAGAGCAGAAGCCTTCAAGTACATCTTGTTATAGCATCTCTCCCGACTGTCTTGTCCAGCCCCCTCTGGCACATAATTTGTCATTGTTGTTTGGCTTTAGCAGTGGTATAAGAGCAAATATTGTACTGCAGGTCCGGGTAATTCAGAAGATGAGTCCTAGTCCATAGAAATAACTCAATGCTGGGCTGAAAATCCTTGATTAGGGACAACAGGCTGTCACTCTAATATACTGAGCAGTGGAATCCTTAATAAACTATATATTTTCTAGGAGCCCAGAAAGTCATCAAATGGGAGACAAAAATAATAGCAAAAACCATTGGTTACTCAAATTTTAGTAAACACAATTTTGTCCTCAAGCTCACGGTATTTTTCGGAATCACTTGGCATTGTCGTGGCATGGAGTTGTAGCACTTGGTATTGCGAACCTTGTTTCTGCAGTCCATAGATTGTAATTTACCCTTTTGTGAAATAAGCAAAAGGAAGCTATTTTGTGCTATTTTAGAAATAGAATAAAATCCTATGTCATGTTTAGTCTCTTGCTCTGACATCTTAACTACTTTTTTTGTCTCTCCCTAAGGTACTTCTAGATTTGTGCATGCTACACTCCACAGATGACAAGTCATGCCGGGACTACCATGTAAGTTATTTGATCACAATAGCCTGAATTATTTTATCATAGTTCTTTGAAAAATTAATGAATAATGCCACTGTAGTTTCCCAATCTCAAATGATGGTAGTTTCAGGTTTGACTTGTATTATTGTATTAGCTACTAGTTAGGGAATTTTCTCCCTTGATCTTTACTTTTCCCTCAATATTTTAATTGTTCCTAAAGGTATTGTTCAGTGAGCCCTCATTGCACTGTAGGTTAAGCACTGAACTGCTAATGCAAGATAAGCAGTTCATACCAATCTGAGGGAGAAAGGTGAGGCTTTCTGCTCTCGTAAAGATTTATAGCCTGGAACACCCTATACGTGGTCACTGTGAGTCAGAACCAACTTGATGGTAGTGAGTTTGGTTTTTTTGGACTGGTTTTTATTATTCAGAGTTGTTTTAAGTCTTTCTATTTCATAGAATAGTTTTATCTGAAGAATGAAATTCTAAATGATCTAAGTGATATTTTGAAAATTCATCTTTTTCCATAGCCATCAGTTGTAAAGCCAAAAGATCATTTTTCAGGATATATTTTTAAATTAAATATGTAATCATTTAACTTTTCTCCACATGAAATGATTCAGATTTGTTTGTATTACTTCATTTTCAGCAGAATTTTAGGCTTGTGTATTTGATGTTTTAAGAACAACTTACGGAGTCTATTGTTGTCATTAAGTGCCGTGAAGTCAGTTCCATCTCAAAGCAACTCTCTATTGGGTTTCTGAGGCTTTAAAAAAATCTATGTGAAAGCAGAAATCCCTATCTTTCTCCTTCAGAGAAGACCATGTGGCTCAGAATCTGATACTTAGCTATAGTAGACTAAATATAATTTTTGAAACTTTTATACCTCCTACAGATCGAGTATAATTTTAAGTATCTTCAATGTCCACTAGAATTCACCAGAAAATCTACTCCTTTAAAGAACGTCATGTACGAGCCTCTTACAACACTCAATGTAAGTCTGGTGTTTTCATTGTTCAGCTAGTTTTTACATGTAATATTTTGGTACTATAATCATACACTTGTTGGAAATGGATGTGGTCTAGAAAAATTTGCAGTTTTCTTTTATATATATAAATATATATATATATATTATATATGGATCATAACAAGCCCTAGAAGAATGGTAAGTATATA